ACCCCGGGCGAAGAGACGGGCTCGAGCGCGACAAACTGGCACTCGGGCTTGAGCGGCTTGATGTACTGCGCGCAGCCCGTGATGGTGCCGCCGGTGCCGACGCCGCCCACGAAGATGTCGATCTCGCCGTCCGTGTCGGCCCAGATCTCGGGCCCCGTCGTCTCGCGGTGGATCTTTGGGTTGTCGGAGTTTTCAAACTGCTGCAGCAGCTTGCCCTTGTCGCCGAGCGAGGCCACAATCATCTCCGCCTTCTTGACGGCGCCTGGGAAGCGGGCGGCCGAGGCCGGGGTCGGGCGGGGCAGATCGCCGCCGAGATGGGCGCGCTAACTCGCTGCCGCCGGCGCCTCCCATCCCCTTGGCGGCCGGCGTGAGGACGAGCTCCGCGCCGAGCGCCTTAAGCATCACCCGCCGCTCCATCGACATCGACTCGGGCATGGTCAGCACGAGCTTGTACCCCTTCGCCGCGGCCACCATGGCGAGTCCGATGCCCGTGTTCCCCGAGGTTGGCTCCACGAGGGTCGTCTCGCCTAGTCCCGCCGCGGCAGCCTCAAGAGGCTGAGATCCGGGCGCGCACGCGTCGCCGGAGCGGTTCGGGCACCGGGCTTGATGTCGCCGCGCCGCTCGGCCTCCGTGATCATCGAGTAGCCGATGCGGTCCTTGACCGAGTTGCACGGCTCCATCGACTCGAGCTTGCACAGGATGGTGGCGCCCAGACCCTCGCCCGTGACGCCGAGCTTGAGGAGCGGAGTGTTGCCAATCAGCTGAGTGATGTCCGTCGCAATCTTAGGCCGCGTGCGCTGCCCGACCTGAAGAGCAGGCGCGGACGTGGAGTGCGCGTCGGGGACACCGGAACGGGAGACGGGGAGGAGAGTGTGGGTGGACGAGCGTGAGTGGTGGTGCTCGGGCGGCGGTGAGCGGCTCGCGCCATGTCGCCGAGCGGCGGCGGAGAGACGGCCATCATCATTGGGCCGACGGGGAGCGCACGGGCTGGGGCGTGTGACGGCAACACGTAGCCGGGCGAGAGGAGGGCGACGAGCATGCTGTTGGCGATCGTCGGTGGAGAGAAAGAAATCGAAGCGGAACCAGGGCAAAAGAATTTTCAACGTATGTGGGAGACTCCTGCCGCCGCCCCTGCCACCCCTGTGTCAGTGTGCCTGTCTGTGGTCGCGAGAGACTGCCAGTGAGAAGCTGGAGGCAGGGGGTCGCTAGACTGAGATGAGACCGCCAGTGGAGTTGGGAGTCCACCGTGCACCGCGCTGCGAGCCTGTCGTGTCCCTTCTGTGTCCCTTGTCAGGAGCAGGAGAGCCCCACCTGTGCCCCTGATCGTCCTTCCAAAATCCTGCTCGTGCAGGCCGGGGACCCTGTCCTCGTCCCCCATCCGGCTTCTTTCTTTCTTTCTTACCGCCGCAAGCGGCGTGGCGTGGAGCGGTTGTGCATCCCTGCGGGGGGCCCTCTGCGCCGGGGAGGCGTTGTTGGAGGCTAGGACGCAAGCGTCCGTCGCCCTTTTCAAACTCGGGGGGGGCCCACTCCGTTACGGCCTACGCTCCGACCCGAATTTGGAGGGCCTAAAAGTTTAAGGTGTTGCTTCGCAAAAGGGGTCGGACACAGGGCGCAGCTCATGCTAAGGAGCTAGAAGGGGAGATAGAGAGAACAACCACCCTGTCCCGTTATTGCGTACACCAACACCACAAAAGCTAAGGGGTCACAACTCTCTGGGGGGAGGCGGGGGCCCCCGGAGGCACCGTGCGCCGCGCAGCAGTGCGGAAACGGGGCCCCGGCTCTACTAGTCTCTACTAGCACCAACTTCCCGATTAAGCTAGGTTAATCAGAGGGCAGATTTGGAGAGATCTCGAGGAGTACATACAGATAGACCCTCCAACCATCAGAAAACTCCAACCTGATCGGTCGTACTGACCGCCGACAGATCACTCCAGACAGCAGACAGGCCGACGTCTGCACGCGGCCGGCCGGGCGAGAGGCTTGACACGATCCGACCCTGCGACCCTGACGCTGCTGCTCTAGCTATCAGCCATGCGCTGCTGACTGCTGCCACAATGTGCGACCGGTGCTGACCCACTTGGCGGCCTTCCCGGTCAGTGGTGAGGCGCAGTTCAAGAGCTGTCGATGGCGCGATGCCGCACTGGTCCCACATCGGTGACACGAGACCACCACGTTTGCCGGTCCAAGAGAGAGGCACCGGCGCTGTCCTGAGAAGGTGCATGGTCCCTCTTGACTGCCCATGCGCGCGAGGCTGTGTAGGCATAGCCTCGAGAGTGCCAGCAGCCAGTCCGAGGCAGTTTGTGACGCGCATTGCGTCAGAAGCGTGCACGCAGCTGGAAGGACACCTTCCTACTGGCCGTACGATCAGGTCGTCACTGAATGCCGAAGACTAAGGCCGCGAGCTATGCAGGCGGTCAGTTGAGCAGCATGGCACGGTCAGCAGCGCCGAAAGGATGTCGGTCGCAAGGCGTGATAGCATGGCCGCAAGTACGCCGAATTCCCATGAAAACAAGTAAAAAATAGCGCGAAAAAGAAAAAATGCCAAAAAAATCGGCGCCTGCGGCGGGCTGGGGGACCCCATCTCCCCCCCGCATGGGCACCCCCTAGGGCCCTCGCCTCCCCCCAGAGTCACAACTACCGAGTTCCTAGAGTCTAGCTGCCACGTTCGAAAGCAGGACGGCGGCAGTGATGGTGCTGTCACGGGCATGATCCGTGGAAAGTGGATTGGGTGTTACGGGATAGTAGAGCAGGCGCTTTGTGGGTGGCGGGTATGGGCGGCGGCGTTGGGTGGCCGGCCGAATCGTTAGCGGAGCTCCTCCCTCAAGCTCAATCACGCATGACGCACGTTGAGTGACAACGTCGGCGAGCTTTTGAATCCGGTTTTAGGTTGCCGGAGCACCTCCCGCAACTCCTCCACGGGCTAGGGTCGGAAGAACACCTCCTCCGCTGGCAGCTCCGCCGCATGCTCGGGTTCACAGTCCCGCCCGCCGTGTTTTCCCGAGTAGGACACGGCCATAGGAATG